CTGAGGCCTAAGAGCTAGAGCCAAGCCTCAGAGCTAAAGCTGGCCCAGAATAAAAAAGAAAGAAAAAAAGGAGCAGTTGGGAGCTTCAGTCACCCGCCAGCCTGAAAACAGCCCTCAGCCCCTCACCCAGACTGGCCAGGCACCCCAGTGGGGACCCCCACCCTGATCTAGGACACCCTTTAGGGCAAACCAGCCAGCCCCCACCCATGAACCAGGCCTCTATCCTATATCGTAAAAGGGTAATATGCCTCCCAGCAACCGGATCAGCGATGCCGCGAGGTCTCCCAGCACCGGGATCAGCGTGACAGGGGGCAGCGCCCAAACCCCCTGATCGCCCTGCAGCTCTGTGTGTGACGGGGGCGCGGCCACAACCTCCCTATCCGCCCTGCTCTGTTTGTGACAGGGGAAGGCACCCCAACCCCCTGATCAGCCCTGCTCTGTGCCTGATAGGGGGGAGCTCCCCAACCCCCTGATCGCCCTGCAGCTCTGTGTGTGACAGGATGCTGCACCCCAAACCCCGTCCCGTCCCCCCCCCCCCCGGGCCCTGCTCTGTGTGTGACAGGGTAGAGCCATAACCTCCCCATTGGCCCTGCCCTGAGTGTGACAGTGGCGGCGCCCAACCCCCTGATCGGCCCTGCTCTGTGGGTGATAGAGGGCGGCGCCCCAATCGCCCCCCACGGGCCCTGCTCTGTGTGTCACGGGATAGAGCCATAACCTCCCCATCGGCCCTGCCCTGAGTGTGACAGGGTGCAGCGCCCCAACCCCCTGATCTGCCCTGCTCTGTGTGTGACAGGGGGCGGTGCCCCAACTCCCCTATTGGCCCTACTCTGTGAGTGTCAGGGGGGAGCTCCTCAACCCCGTGATCGATCCTGCTCTGTGTGTGAAAGGCTACGGAGCCCCAACCCCCCTGATGGACCCTGCTCTGTGGGTGACAGGGGGTGGCGCCGCAACCTCCCCATCGACCCTGCCTTGAGTGTGACAGGGGGCGGTGCTCCAACCCCCCAATCGGCCCTACCCTGAGCGTGGCATCGCAACCTCCCGATCCGCCCTGCTCTGTGCATGACAGGGGGTGGCGCCCCAACTCCCCAATCAGCCCTGCTCTGAGCCCGACCAGGGGCTGCACCTAGGGATTGGGCCTGCCCTCTGCCACCTGGGAGCAGGCCTAAGCCAGCAGGTCATTATCTCCCAAGGGGTCCCAGACTGCGAGAGGGCATAGGCCGGGCTGAGGGACCCCCCCGAGTGCACAAATTTTTGTGCACCGGGCCTCTAGTAATAATAATAAAAGGCTAATATGCACATTGACTGAACAGCATGACTGGTTGCTATGATGCACACTGGCCACCAGGGGACAGACGCGCATGCAGGAGCTGCCCCCTGATGGTCAGTGCACTTCCATATGGGGAGTGCCACTCAGCCAGAAGCTGGCTCATGGCTGGCCAGCGCAGTGGTGGTGGCAGGAGTGTCTCCCACCTCCGTGGCAGCACTAAGAATGTCCAGCTAACGGTTTAGACCTGATCCCTTGGGGGCCTAAGCCTTTAGTCGACATCCCCTGAGGGCTCCCTGGCTGCCAGAAGGATGTCTGACTGCCAGCTTAGGCCTGATCCCCTGGGGAGTGGGCCTAAGTCGACAGGTGGACATTCCCCAAGGGGTCCTGGACTGCAAATGGGCGCAGGCCGGGCTGAGTGACCCCCCCCCCCCCCGAGTACACAAATTTTTGTGCACTGGGCCTCTAGTTGGTTAATAAAATTATATAGGTTTCAGCTGTACAATTCCATAATACATCATCTGTAGTTGTATTGTGTGTTCACCACCCCATCCATCACCAAGCCTCCTTCCATCACCATTTATCCCCCCTTCACCCAAAAAGAGGATAAAGGGGAGATACATAGTCCTATATAATAAAAGGCTAATATGCAAATCAACCAAATGGCAGAACAACTGGTTGCTATGACGCGCACTGATCACCAGGGGGCAGATGCTCATGCAAGAGCTGCCCCCTGGTGGTCAGTGCACTCCCACAGGGGGAGCACTGCTCAGCCAGAAGCCGGGCTCATGGCTGGCAAGTGCAGCAGTGGTGGCCCGCTCCCCTAAGCTGTCAGTTGGACATCCCCCAAGGGCTCCCAGATTGTGAGAGGGCACAGGCGGGGCTGAGGGACCCCCCCGTTCCTCCACCCAGTGCATGAATGTCGTGCACCGGGCCTCTAGTTTCTTTATAAAAGGAAGAGAAGATTCACTGTTTAAAACATTGCATGAAAAATAATTTTAGTCAATTTTTTTGCTAATATGAAAAGCTAGTACTACAGTCACTAGCGTTACAATCAGTGACTGAATAGAAATCTTGTCTTCCTTTTTTCCTTTAACTGACCCAAAATTTAAAAGTTAAAAATATCCCTTTGGCTTGTCATTTCTAATTACTTCTCTTATTTACCAATCAGGTTGACAACAAACTTCTGCTTTGCTTTTATTCATTCAGCTATCAATATATCTTCATTTAATTTGTTTTTGTTCTGCATTTACCATGTGCTCATTTCTTTAAGGATATTTCTGTAGTTGATCCCTATGTTCCAAATGCCCAATTTTGACAGGCATTATTATCTGAAATCCTATATAATAAAAGGCTAATATGCAAATAGACCAAACAGCATAACAACCAAAAACCGGTCGTTATGACGTGCGCTGACCACCAGGGGGCATGCATGGAATATGGCGGGTGTTGGCCGCAGTGGGATGGTGGAGCAGGTGAGTGGGGGTGCCAGACCAAGGCGGGGCTCCGCAAGTCGCTGTCATAAGGGCGAGCCTCTGGCGGTCACTGAAAATTCTTTGCTCCTGCGCGCAGCAGTCCCGCCCAGCACTACACCTGCTGCCAGCCCCGGCCCTGCTTGCACCTGCTGCTGGCACTGGAGCTGCCACTCGCACCCAGTGCCAACTCTGGCCCTGCTCGCACCCGCAGCCGGGACCACCACTCACTCGGCGCCATCAGCGGGTGAGAGCAGCGGCTGCTGGCTCGGATCACCCTTGAGGGCTTCTCCACCTCCCCCTGCTCCTGAGGGGCAATCGGGGCAGCAGCCACCACTCGCACCTGCTGCTGGAGCCAGCCCCGATCGCTCCACACTGTCAGCGGGTGTGAGTGGGGCCGGCACCTTCAGTGCATGGGAGTGGCAGTGGCAGGAGCTGGGCTGCCGGCAGACAAGGGGACCAGGGGCTGTGGCGGGAGGGACCAGGTGTGGGCGCGGAGGATGGGCCGAGACCCGCCCCTGTGCCTACTTGCAGCCTCGCAGCCCACAGTTTCTTTCAAGGTGCACAAATTTGTGCACTGGGCCCCTAGTTTTATATAATGCTAATGACATCTTTCCAGTTAAAATACAGACATCTAGAAATAGATTCCGTGACCTTCCAGATAGGAATTAAGTGCCAGGTACCAGCAGTTATCATGTCATGGATCAGAAAACTACGACAGGATGACAGAAATGACATTTCTACCTCCTGAAGTCTTGTCAAGATCCTCTGGCAGGTCAAGGTTGCCTGCTCCAGTCGTTAATTCTTTATCCCACAATTCCCTCACGCAATGAAAATTATGTCTTACAGAATTATTCCAAAGATATAGGTCTACGAATGTGTTATGCTTTAATAGTCTGCTTTTGGGGATGGAAGAGGCTTCATGAGTGACTGGAGCTTATTCTACGTGCTACTGACAACTCCTAGACTTCATGGATGCTCTCGGAGTTAAAAACAAAAATCCCATTATATGCATACTCTATTTGAATTCATTCTAAATGAGGAAAACCAGCTTCCTAGTTTGAGGAAAAGCAAAAACTACTATTAAAAGGGGTTAAAGGTATAATAACTAGCTTATCTCAAAAGTCTCAATATGAAAACGGTACCAATTATAACCTTTTATTCACCATTTACAGATGACTCGTCAGCTCAGCAGGCAACATATTGGACTCTTCATTTCATTTCATTTGCACTGAAGATGGGTACAGAAAAGAGCAGGGCTTGGACTTTGGACCCAACAGACCTGACTTTGACATGGGGTCCCATCTTCCACTCACTAGCTGAGTAGCCCTTAGAAGAAGGACTTGCAACCCCCTGAGTCATAGAGTCCTCTGTGTGTTAAGTAGGAACAATGCCCACTATGACCCAGTGGTGCCCGAGAGGAAAACATTAAGCAACATATATGGCAGTGCCTAACAGTATTTGGAACAAGATAGGTCTGAATTAGTATTAGTTCCTCTTTCACACCCCACCCCGTGGTTCTGTGCAAAGCAAATTTGCTTTGGTGCTTTGAAACATGAACTTTCTCCCCTCCCCCTTCAGAACGCATTTTCTAAGTCATCACAAATCTAAGAAGAGACATTAAGAAACGACTTCACATGGAAGTAGCTATTTAACATGAGCGTTTGGGGAGATAAAAACTAATAATTCTATGTTCCGGCTAATTTAATTGTATTAACAATGAAGATGCCGAATTTTCCTGTGTCCTTCTTTGACATTTTTATATGCTAAGTAAAGCTCCAGCGTTTTCTGATTTAGAGAGCCCTCAGGCTACTTGACAGGATGTGGGATCAATTCCAACTGCGATTCCTGATCTGCCCCCTAGCCCCCTTGCTCTCTAAACAAGGCCGGTGGGTCAATGATGGAAATACAATTCTTTCGTCTTGGCTAAGCTGTATCCTGTTCTTAATGTGCTGGGACTTTAAAATGTGTTTCACAAAAGGCTGGGGGAAGGGGAAGGTACTATAAACATGTCCCTCTAATTCAGTTATGTCAGAGAACTGCACTCAATGCTACAAGGCTTAGCACAGGGAGAAGGGTGACAGCAAGAAGGGGGCCCCTTTAGGGGTAAGCAGTGAAGACGGTGTGGAGCTGAGTGAAAATCGTTTGCTTTACACTAGAAGCAGAAGGCACCATGCGTCCTTCCGGGACTTGCGTGACCCTGGGGCCCCCGAGTTGGGGGGAGGGTGTGTGTGCACTCGCTCCTGGTCCCAGATCCTACTCACCCAGCTGGAGCTGCTGACAAGTCCGGTTTGGGTTCTGTCCGATCTGGCATTTGTAAACGGCCCCGGGACGCACCACGGAGGCGTTGGTGAGCCCGTCGGCGGTGGGAGCCCCCACGACGAGCCTACGGAGAAACGCGCACGTGCGCGCAGCTGGAGCCGAGCCGCGGGGACGCCTGGCCCGCCGCCCCTCCGCCGCCGCCCGCCGCCCGCCGCCGCGCACCCACGGGCCACCTCACCCGCCGCTCCAGGGCCTGGGCCAGGACGCACCCCGGGCGCTGCCACCCCGAGATAAGTTAGTTTCCCGGGCAGCTCTCCAGCGCGCCAGCCATCGCAGCGCTCCCCTCTGCGCCTCCCGGGAGAGGAAAGTTTGGCCCCGCCGGCGATCCCGGGGCCCCCTTCCCCGCTCGCAGATGCCCCGCGCGCCCCCATCCCGCTCCTCTCACCATCGCTGCGACCCGTGGCTGTGCAGCACCACCGAGTAGCCGAAAAGGGTGTTGGGGGGGCCCTGGAAAAGCAGCGCGCTCTCGGTGTCCACGTTGTAGGGGCGCCCGGTCGGGACCCCCAGGCACAGCAGCAGCATCACCGCCTCCCGGACGGCGGCCCTTCGGGGGCCCGGCCCTGGTCTCGCGCCCTCGGCCATGCGCTCTCGGAGGGGAACATTCAACACCGAATGGCACCGTCCCGCCGTCGTGCGGGATGAGACTCCGCCGAGGGGAAGGGGGCCCCCAGAGAAGAGGTTCGGCGTGTCCGGTGCCAGCAGGCAGGAGGGAAGGAGGGGGGAGGAAGGGAGGGACGCACAGCAAGAGGGAGGGGAAGTCGGCCTCGGGCGGAGCCACCGCCGCGGGATGCAGTGCGCCCGCCCTCAGGACCCCACGCCCGGTTTCTGCCGCGGGGAGGTGCGGGCGCTCCCGCGGTCCTGGGCCGGGCCGCTGGGTGGGGTCCCGGGCGTGGTGCTGGGGCGCCGGACCGTGTGCCGTGCCCCCTCCCCCACGAGGGGCTGTAGGGGGCGCTAGGGGACCTGCGCTGCTGGACGCGCGTGGCCGGACCTCGCAGCCTCCTCCGAGAGCCGGACGACTAGGCTCTGGGGCTTTGCAAGAGCGGAGCTGGAAGGAGCAGGGGCTTCCCCTTTTGACCGTGGTGGGCCCGGCTGCGGCGCGGTGTGGCCCCAATCCGACCCGCGGGAACCCCACTAGGAACGCGGAGCCTCCGCGGCCCGCCCCAGTGTGGCCCGGGGCCAGCCACAAACCTGGGCGCCGGCTGCGGCGGGGAACCGTCTAGATCTTGCGCTGATAATCGGGCGCTCTATCTGCTTTTTGCAGCGTAGGAATAACCAGGGGGCCTCAATGAAAGGCAAGCAAAAGAACTCCTGAAGGCGCAGGATGTACTTTGGTCACAAAGACGTTAGGGTTACTCACTTCAAGACTCAGGGCCCTGCGAGCGTCTGTGCCCAGGACTTACCCTCCCCCTCCCCCCGCACTTCCTCTAAGCCCTGGGCTGCCCCAGGGAGGACGCAGATGAGCAGCCAGCTCTCAGGCTGAATGGCAGGAGGTCAGGGCTGCCAAGAGTTCAACAGCGGGGCAGGGCAGAGAAAGCACTGTGGCTGGCCTCACTTTAACCAAGAAACCCCGTTCTTGCTGCTCCCCCTTTCCACGCATCCACTCACCACCAGAGAGCCAGTGTGAGGCCAAGGCACAGACAGCCTAAGCCTCTGAAGATGCGCTGGGGACCAGGGCACAGCACATCCGAAGGGGTTAGACTAGAGTCTAACCGTTAGACTCTCCTAATGCGATCCAGATGTGCCACAGGTTTCTTTCTCCAGCAACCAGAGAGACAGCCATAGGTGATTTGGCTGATATTTGGAGATACAGGTCCAGTTATGAATTACTGCTATGTGAAAAAAAAAACACGAAAAAAGAAAAAGGGCTTCTTAAGGTGTGCGAGTGTGAGCGTGCGTGTGTGCAGTTGCGCGGGTGCACATGTGCACACTGAAATATCACATCTTAAATTGTAATGGCAGATACGTCACTAAAGTACTTGTTCATTTACTCAGCACATTCATTGAGCCAGCAAGTTGCAAGACCCACAGTACCATGGTGAGCAAGGCACGATAAGCCTTCAGGAAAATTTTTCGCCGAGTGGCAGATGGACAAACTTTTACTTAGTAGAGAAAATTCTGAATGCTTAAGGACACTTAAAGAGAGATTGGGAGGACAAGGAGGACAAGGAGGGTCGAGTTAGCCTAGGCAGTTAGAGAGGAGGAAGAAAGGTGGGCTCCAGCAGGGCCAGGTAGAGAAACTGGAAGAGGTGGTCTTGGTGGCACATTTAGCTGTCCACGTGCAGGTTGGTATGATATGAGGCTGACTAGAGAAACAGGGACACATCATGAACCCCCTAAGCCAGGATAGGAAGCTGTTGAAAGGTTTGTCTTGGTCAGCCGTGTGCTTCAGAAATGTGAAGCGAAGATTGGATACAGGAAACCTAATTGTGGAGGCCCCTGTAGTAAATAATGAGTAGGGAGATGGATGGCCTGCACTAGGAAGTAGCAAAGGTGGAACAGAGGAAATAATAGACTCAAGAGATATGAGAGACAGAACCCAATAGAACTTGGTGACAGTGTTGGCAAATACAAAGATGGAGCTGAGATGAAGGAGTCAGGACGATGGCCCAGTCCTGAGTTTGGGATTTGAGCATATGATGCTAATAAATAGAGAAAAAAAATACACGGGAGGAACAAGGTTGCGCATGTGTGTATGCACAGGCATGGGCACCCACACGAGCAGTGTCAGTATTAGATTTGGAGTTTGAGATATTTGTGGAGTAGTAGGATATTCTAGCCAGACCCAATCATTTTTTATGCTTTTGTCAACAGACAAAAGAAGAGCAATAGTGATCCTCTCTTATTGTTTGCAACAAAGTAAAAGGCAAACGGTGCAAAATGAAATGAAATGGCTTCTAGAAAAGTAGCTCACAGGGCCCGTGGAGAATGGTCCTCTTGCTCTGTTTTTCCACTCCAAGGTTCCTTCTTTCTGAGTAGACCCACATGCTGATTTCAACCCAGCTCTGCAACTAGCGCACATTGCCACCGTTATAAGTAAGCAATCCCTCTTGTTTTGCAGCCGCATGTCCATTTGGGGCCCAGGAAGTAGTTGTCTCACAGGTACTTCCAGACTCTCCAGACCTGGGCAATGTCAGAGCCACAGATCCTTTTACTTCTCTCCCTTCTTATGTGACAAAATCCACTCAACACAATTCTTTTCATATCATAATTAAGGTGAGTAGCAGCCAATAGAGCATTCATGGGGCAGGATCTTATTTCTATGATTGTGGTTATAGTTATGATTTCACCACTTTTCAAGAACTAACCACCCTTTACTGCTTCACACACTATATTAGCCCAAGTTTCATTCCTCCAAGACTTAGAGAACAGTTCACTTTTCTGGAGTCAGCAGAAATAAAGGGTGTTTAATGTAGCTTTGACAAAGCCTCTAGATACTGCTCTCTCTTTAACCAATGCTTTTGTAGGCAAGTGTGAGAATCTGATAGGAAAAGGGTACGTGGAGGGGGGAGAAAAGGAAGACTTTTAAAAACTACCTCTGCCTATCTGTAACCCTCAACTGAACATAAATGATTCAATTAATATGTGTCATTTGGTTAATATGTATCAAGTGCCCACTGTGTGCCAGGACCTACTTTAGGGACTCAACAATAAAAGACTCTCTATCCTTGATAAGACGTCCTCCCAGTAGAGAGGATCCTCATATGGGCTCACCCAACTCCTCAGTTGTTATCAAGAGTGAACATTTCTCCTTCTTGAAAGCCCCTCTTTTTGTGATAGTATTATTTTAGTCCCCACACTGCCTTTGTCTCTAGCCATTCTGAGTCTCTTTGCTAGCCTCTTTCCCTTCACCGTAGTGTTTGAGAGTCCCAGGGCTCTGTCTGGGTCCTCTTTCCTTCTCTTCCCATATCTCTCTCTTTAGGAGCTCACACCTAAATGTCTTTATATCTTTAAATACCAGCTAACTAATGCCATTAACTACCACATGAGTCCCCAGTCCATGTCTCCAGCCTGGCCCTCTCTTCTGAGCTCCAGGATCATAAGCTTTACTGCCTTCCTGACATCTCTACCTGGACGTTGTGCACATAGCATATCTAAAAATCTAGCAGGCATTGTGCACATAGCATATCTAAAAAACTGAGTTCTGATTCTCTCATCCCACATCTAAACCAGTCCTCTGTCCAATGTCTTTCTTTTGAGAAAAACACAATCCATCTGCCCAGTTAGTTGTTTGGTCCAGAAATTTGGAAAGTAATTCATGACTCCTCCCTCTCTATTCCCTATATACAATCCACTCATCATTGTTATAACAATTTGCCTTTGGAATATACCTCAAGTCCATCAGTTTATCTTCTTCTGCCCTGCTCCAACCCCCTTCCAAACCGCAATAATCTCATCTGGCCTGTTCAGTAATCTGCTACCTGGCCTCCCTATTTACTCCTTCACACCATCAATTTTCTACATGCATGGTAAAGTGAACTATTACAATTCTAAATCAAAGCACACTTAATCATGCCACTCTCTTGCTTCAGTCCTATAAGTAGTGTTTCCCATTGCTCTTCCAGGACAAACTTAAGGTGGTTTACAAGGACCCTATGACCTGGTCTCTGACTACCTTGCCAGTTCTCCATTGGCCATGTCCTTCAGGATCACTTTGCTTTAGCCACATCGACCTTCCTTAATTTCCCTAGGTGCATTGTTTGTTGTTGGGGGTTTTTTTCCACCCATGGGGTCTTTGCCCAAATTGTTCTGTCTGCTAGAATACACAACCTGTGAAATTTCACGATTCTTCTCTTTCTTTAGTCTCAACTTAAAGGTCTCCTCCTTACAGAGGATATTCCTGCTCATCCAGTTAAAATAGATCATCATATTATTCTCTGGCAGACAATCCTGCTCAGTGTCTTTGGAGCTCTTAATTTATAAGCATATATGGATTTACCTTTTCATTCTGTCTTCCTCTCTGGACTGTGAGAACTCGTGTTGTGTTGTTATTGTTGTTTACCACTATATCTCCATCAATTGATATGCTACCTGGCAAATAGCAGGTGGTCAATAAGTATTTTTAAAGTGGCCTTTACATGATTTGGATTTTTGATGTCATAAACTGAGATAAATCTGGATATTTCTATAAATTTAGGTTGATACATTATTACATGCAAAACAATATATTAGGTCCTCTGGTAAATTCAAAGATGTATAAAACATGGATCCTACTCTCAAACAGCTTATAATTTACAAGGAGAGAGATGATATCCTTAGAAGACCAGAGAATATAGTCAATGTGAATGTCATATACATTGGGGAAAGAAGAGACAGTTGGTAGCTAACCGTGGTGTAGGCTTAAAGGGCAGGCTTGAGACATTAATTTGGATAGAATGGAAGGCAGAGAAAAATGAAAAAATTGATACAATACATTAGGAAAAACTGACATGCTGTCAGGTGCAGATAATATGGAAAAGTAAAATATGCCTGGCATTTTTAGGCTAGACAATGGTGGTACTATGATAAAAAACAAAGCAAAAAACCACCAGGAGAAAGAGCTGGAATCGGGGAGGGCAGGAACATTGTGTTTGGATAATGCTGACTGGGTTTTTAGAGATGAGTCTGAGATGTTGGTAGAACTTGCATGGATTGGTCCGGAAGTACTGTTTGCTTGTTTTTTAACTAAATTAAAGCATGTAACATGTAGAACACTTAGAGGTGT